CCTTTTATACATGAAAAACTTTCGTAGGACGTATTTTCTTGTAAAGTTCATATTTACTGAGATATCGCACTTTGACGCACTAATGAGCAACCCTGTATAGTTATAGATGAATGTTGCTATAAGGATGAATAAAAATATGATGTGGAAAGCTGTGTTATTCAATATTATATCTCTTTCTAGATTAAGTCTGATTAAGGCAGCAAAACAATTTATTTAGTTCTGTTTCCTCGATCCACATTCCCAAGTTATTAAAAACAATTGATACAAAAAACAGTAAAGCCTCAATCAAAGATAAGCATGTGCCGACAAAGCTTTTGTTAATGTGGAAGGGTCGCGAAGAAATCCAATTATGATTATTAATATAGACAACAACTTAGTTCTCATTTTGTCTTTGTCTTATTTCGAAAGCGAAAAGTCACTACTATATGTACCTAATTAAATTTGAAATTAGATATTTGGAACCACTTCTGAAGAGGTATTTAGATAAACCTGTAACTTTCACAGGAAAAAGTAATTATGACAATATCAAGTAAAAAAGTAATCATCACTTTGCAAGTGTGTAATTATGCATAAAAGTGTTGTGTTCTCAGGCCCGTTGGGAAGTAATTATTTAGATAATAAGCAGGTCAAGCTTTCTGTCCACGAACAATCCTTAATACTGAGTTTGATTCGGTTAACTCCCGCACATTTGGAAAATATGGTAGCAAATTGTTTATATAAGACTAAAGAGTAGCGGCAAGTTTTCGATGTTCAAAACCAAAGAAGACCGACGGCCCTCCCGTACTTATTCCACACGCATTTTCTGCACGCTTCGTAATCGTGCTTGCGTGAGCCCTGGATCGCTCAAGGGAACATTCCAAAGCATTATCAATCACTAGATGTTTTATATTGATGTGTAGTATATACACGTCGGTTCCATTAACTAATCTTATAATAAATGCGGATACGGTTCAAATTCCATTAACCGGATGGATCTAGAAAATGGCCTCTAAAAATTATATAGTATTTTATTTTAAATAAATAATGCTGAGGAAAATTTCTGGCATCAATGTGATATGTAAACTAGGAAAGAGGTGGAAATTTTGAGGCTGAAGCAGACAAATTAAGTCAATGAATAAGATCTAAAATCACAGCAATGGAAACTTTCAGAAAAAACTACCGAAATACCAGCCAATGTTTATTCTGAGATCTCCAGCCCCATATCCAGAACATTCTTAGTGCTACTAGTTGTTTAGTCGGTCATACTGTATACAGGTACATATGTAGGTATACCCACCACATCGCAAAATAAGTATGGGCTCTGCCAATATCTCTACATATAATGGATGAGGTACTCGAACAAAACAGATGCTTGACAAATATCCACTTTGCAGATTTTTCAACTATCACTTGTTTTTTATTTGTCAAGTGCCTCGAAAATCATCCGATCGATTTGGAGCGCAAATAAAGTTTTTGTCATAGTTATCCATTTAAAAATAAGGTGATTTGGTTTAAGAGATAACGTTATCGAAAAGTGAAGTTTTACAACTACTTAATATAAATATCCAAGAATAAATTAAAGCTGCAGTTGTTTGAACTGTTCGCCATCAGAAAACGCCGCAATATGAAAAGGCTTCTGCTTTTGGCGGCAATTGTTGCCATTGCTTCAGCTAAGTCAGGTAAGTTTAAATATATTCAGCGATATGTAAAAACCGGAATACGAACAAGTAGGAGATTTTTTCTGAAAAAGTTGGTTCAAAATGAAAATATCCATAGATGATCTATAGGAGCGCGATCCGGTGTCAGGAAGGCCATATGGTACATTATTCACATACTACATACTACTGAAACTGTAGAAAAGTATAAAGTTTTCATCATTCTATGCTTGATTTTGTGATAAAAGTACACAATTTTTTAACAATACCTATAGAGGATTAAGCCTAATACTTAGACAGCAGTTCGGAGTTCAATTTTGGACATTTCTACTCTTGGATTATGCATATTGGATTGTTTCGGGTGGCTTTTCCGAGTTTTTAGCAGATTTCCTTACATATTTGAGTACAACTTTATACATACAATAATAATTATTAAGATAACAAGAAATATGGCAATATGGGTCGAAAAAGACACATTTTATAAACACTTGAAAAACATAAAATTACAAAATAAAAGACATAGCTAACTGTAATACTAAATCGCAATGAGATGATTCAAATTTACAATTATTTCATATTTATTGAATAAAAGGAAGTCTTAGCAATAATAACAGTCAACTACTTTTATCTGTTCAGTGTCATTAATTTCATTGGCTTTTTAATAAATAACTTACATTTAAACTACTTGTCAATGTTATATATCATTTTATTCATATTACTTGACGTATCTAATCCGCTAAGCTTACAATCGTATCAAGCCTTTCAATCAAATGGTGAATTTATTAGATAAATATTTGTTATTATTAAATATATTTTCATTATTGATAACTGCACATCAAAGGTTATTCAGCCATCATTAAGTAAAGCCAATAAAGTGTGGAATTAATAAAAGTTAATGAATGATTCACAGTCTGTACATGTAAAAAGGGATATTCCCATGATAGTTCCGCAAAATTGGGAATTAAATAACGACAATAAAGAATAAATAAACCTAAAAATAAAATAACTATATGTATTTTTAAAGTAGAGCGTATCAAATATATTTTACTGAAATATGTTACTGGTCCAAAGTAGCGACAAAATAAATGTTGTTCAAATAAATGGAGTATTTATCCGGGCAAGAATAATCAATATTTGCAGATGGATAACTATAACTAGAACAGGTTTCATATGAAAATCAATTTTTATTTGCGCCTTTTTTGAAGACTACATATGCAAACTAATCATCTCTGGTAAGTATTCCTTTGGCACACACTGTATTTTTCAGATGTATAAAGTTTGTCGGTCTTAGAATATTTAATAATTCGTGTTTTAATAATTTAAAACTTGTGTATCTCTATTTTAAAAAATTAAAGCGCTTTAGCAATCTGTTGTCAGATTGTTTGCGTTCTGAAAAATGCAATCGCCAAATGACCAAAATATTTAGCTTATACAAACCATAGTACATTATTATTAAAATGTAACTTTTAAACCGGAAATGATAAACTAATTCCTTTCTAAATGATACGCGCGCTGTCTTAGTTCTTATCAAAAAATATTTCATTAATACGTCCGGCGCAATTTTTTTAAATTGCGATGTGAAGAAGTCACGGGTTTCAAAACGCCCGCTGTAAATTAGGAACATTGAAACAGCTATTTATAGAAACCGATTTGAGGATGAACGCTTTCACGCAAAATTCACTTAAGTAATAATCATTTACTAATATGCACTTGAAAGTATATTTTACTTAAAGTCAGCTGTAGAATTGAAAAATTAAAGATGTATGGCATGTTTTATAAAAAATTGCTATTGATATTATGCGTTCCACGTTCCATGCAATTTAAGTTTTTTACATAAAAAATCGACGCAAAGAGAAACAAAAACTTTAATATCCAAGCAGTTTTCCTAGAAATTGATCCCTTCATTTTTAACGAATTTATGCGGGATTTTCGTATCACACTAAAGCACTTCGTAAAAACATCTGCAACGGGACGTTAAATCGGCAATGAGACCGACAACATCTCTTGTGCTTTAGTTGTTTACGCTTCAAAAAATACTATTTTACTTCATTTAGAATGTTTGTTTATATTTAATTTCTGGTTAATATTATCCAGAAACAAAGTATAGTTCATGTTTTATGTACGTAGTTTCCCTGCTGAAGAGTGAAGAGATCACTGATAATCTGAAGAACACTTCAAGGTATTTGCTATATGAGAGGGAGGATGGATTATTTGAGGTCGAGGAATTTGAAAAAGAACAAGTAAACCCTGAGCTGTTCGTTAGCGATAATTCAGTAACGTTCTACGTGTATACCTCTCAGAATCGTGCTGGTAAGTTGATACTTAAGTCTCTTGGTATGAAATCAGCATGTTCAACTTTTGATATTTCATGTTTTTTAGGAACCCAAATAAGAGCCAGTGACGCCAGAAACATTGTTCGATTAACTGGATTCGCTGCTAACAGAGACACTGTTGTACTTATTCATGGTTGGAGAAATCACTACTTATCACCAATAAATGTTGAAATTAGACCGGCACTTCTCCTCAGTAAAGACGTAAATGTAATTGTTGTTGACTGGAGCCCAATTGCATCAGCAAATTATTTAACTGCACAAGGTTCCGTACTTGCTATTGGAAACTTTATCGGCGACTTTCTAATCCGATTGAACAACGAAGTAGCGCATTCTCTATCCAGGGTCACTATTGTAGGATTTTCACTTGGAGCTCACATTGCAGGTAAAGTTTATACCTAATTTATTTCATCCTTTTAATGAAGTATTAATTACTCTTACTTAAACTCAGGTAATACTGGTGCTAGAACTAGAGGACTGACCGGCACAATTGTTGGACTAGACCCTGCTGGCCCGCTATTCACTGTAAACAACATTAACAATCGCCTGGATCCCACTGATGCTCAGTATGTCCATGTAATCCACACAAACGATGGCGTAATGGGTTTTGGAATCCCAATGGGAGATGTTGATTATTATCCTAATGGAGGTTCCACTCAACCAGGATGCGGCATCGATGTAGCCGGAAGCTGTGCCCACAGCAGATCATATTTCTACTATGCCGAAAGTGTTAATGACAACAGATATGTATCCAGATTATGCACGAATTTTTCCGTATTCCAGAACAACCAATGTAACGTAAATGCTGCTAGTCTCTTAGGAAGCTGGCCTATCGCCAGAGCAACGTAAGATACTATTTAATTCCAAACATTTAATATGAGTTTAATCTTTGTTTTTTTAGACAATCCGGAGGATACTTTCTTTTGACCAATAGCCAGTCGCCATTCGCTAGAGGTTAACAAACCAACCGTTAATTTTCGGCACGCCAATTAAAATCTTGCAAAAATAAACATTTTTTCGCATTTCAATTTTAGTTTAATTTAAGCTCCAAAGTAGACAAAAGTTAGGCGAAAAATAGCGATGAGTAAAAACATCAGACTTAATTAAATCCGAGGAATTAGGATTTGGGGTTTTTACCATATGGCTGCGAAGTCAATATATGAAAATAATGCATTGATTTGATTTTGTAAAATAAAGATAGCAACAAACAAATATTAAAGTTTTAGAACCAATTCGCTCTTCGACTGCAAAACTCAAAACAAACAAAACAGTTTTAAATAGTTATCATATAATTGCATAAAATTCAAATAATTCTCCTATGCACGCCCAAATGGAGAGTTGTTGTTAGTTTCCAAGTAGTACAGTCCTTTAGCACTGCAACATTTAAAAAATTAATAAAAAATAAGAAAAATTTAAAGCCAAAAACCTTCGGTCTAATCGGGCCAATCCACCCATGTGTTTGGTTTTCCCAGGACAGTTTGTAGCTCGAAGGTCTTCCAATGTGGCACAACTGGAAGCAACGAATCTGTTATCTGTGACCGATTCAGCGAAAAGTTGCCAAGCTCTATTATGGGCACAGTTTCCAATTAGATCTATTCCACATCCAGGCTGTCTCGCGCCTCCATTTGGATAAAAATCAGAGTGACCAACTGGATCGAGCATTCCTAAGGTGCCTCCGTTTGTATGAATTCCCTAAAACAGATCCACGTTAAGAAAGCTGTAAAATTTGATGCCAACTTCATATAGGTACCTGCACATATTTGGCATCAGTTGGATACACGCTGAAGCTGGAATTAGTAGAACTAATAAAAGGACCGGCGGGATCCAAAGCTATGATAAGTCCAATTTTGCCTTTCAAAGCCTTGCCAATATTGCCGGCAATGTGAGCCCCCAAGGAGAAACCAACCAGAGTAAAATCAATTAACGGATAGTTAAACGCTGTAGATAATCGCTGAATGAAAGTGGCAGCTTCTTTCCCTACTGGTGGCACTGAATCTCGGGCAGCAAGGTATCTAGAATTTACTAAGTAGCTTTAGTAAACTCCAGTTTTAATGTAGGTTGATTCTGAGCATTTTTGCGTGGGAATATACATATGAACGGAGTTTTAGTTTAATGTAAATATATGATGCAGGCAACTTACTTGTCTCGTAAAGTCACAATTTTTAAACTACTAGATGAATAATGCTTAATAAAAATGCGTACAGTACTATATAATGATGAGATATGATTCAAATTATTGTATCTATTATTTCATATACTTAATGCGGTTTGGGGATGATCGGTAACAAATAATTTCAAATGACTTACCCTAGTCTAGATAATGGACTCCAGTCTACTTTAAAAACATTAGCGTTGGTTTTGGAGAAAATAGCGTCTTTTACGTAAGTATTGGAATTTGATTCATAATCATCCTGCCAGCCATGAATTAAAACAACCGTCGGAAGTGTTGGGTCAAAAATTCGTAGAAGCTTATTCACGTTGGAATCTGTATTGGATTTGATGAGAAAACCATCCGGGAGTTCTCGAGTGTAGAAGACGTAACTTACATCGTCAGGATTAATAGCTTGCGCTGAAAAATTTGTATGTTAAGTGCATATGTCCGGCCTGATAAAATTTTGACTTCAACTTTAAGTTAATAATGAAAATGATTTTTTTAAATTTGTTCAGCGGAATAATACAACAATGAAAAATTAATGCAGCTCATGAAATAATAAAAAGGGTATCAAAAGAGATAGACTTTCGAGGCCATTCCCTGAAACTAGGTTACACGCTTACATTGTAATGAAGCGTTCAAGCAAACCACCTCTGAAGATGCAAGCCACTCGTGCTTGCGAAACGTCAGAAAGAAATTCCATTTTACGACGACCTAAAAACCCGAAAAACCCACTAGTTTCAATAAACGGCGTGTTTTCGCCTTTTGCTTTCGTAGCATTTCTTTTGCAACTTACGCTTACGCACTAATTTGAAGCCGAATGAGTCTTAATAAATGGTAACATATCTTCATATGCAAGTATATATGCAAAAATACTTTTTCAACAGTCAATATATAGTTTACAAAACCGGTGTATTTGCCGTTATTATTATTGTTGCAAAATTTCGATTTTCTTTCATAGTATTTCCTCTTATTATTCCCACGCTGTATATAACCAGATAATATGTGGTAGGTATAAATAATGAAGGCAATCTGCTAAATTGGGCGAGGCTTGTTTGATCCATTTATCTCACCAACAAGAGCATTTTATTCACATTTTTTCACAGAATAATTGACCCCATCCTAATGAGCAATTTGAAACTGAACACTCAACACTAAAACTGGATTTCTTTGATTCGATACCCATGGGACTCACCTGCAGCTAGTAAGCAGGCGGACACCAAACTAAAATACAACGCGTACTTCATTTTTGAGCTTTTCTTTTTACTGACTAAAGAATATAAAGCAAAACCATATCATTTATAGTAGAAGTTACTATTTACGACCATTCAAAATTTAATCTGATGTCGGTGATAGGATTATCTTACGAGACGAAATGTATACATTTTGGTCCATAAAGACTACCAATCAATAATTGTAAATGTGATAAACCTAATCCAGCATTTCTACGTTTTAACCCCTACGACTATGCCTCAGACGGAAATGTTCTTGAAAGCATTTAATTTATATTGTCTTCTAATCAGAACTGATAACCGAACAGTAGCTGAATTACTCAAAATTGAATAATGTGTATTTCAATTCATTCATTCTCATCATTGCATAATGAAAATAAACATTAAAAAATATAATACGTTAGTTAAATTGAACACTGCAAGTTTCAATTCTAATTCAATCGAAATAAAATGGTGTGCGCTTCAACAAATTTATAATTCCAAATAAATCGAATAGCACTAAATTATGTGTTGCTGTGGTTCGGTATTACACACACTAAAACTAATTTATGGAAATCACTTGAAAGGCAGCATTTGAGAACATGATTATTCTGTTTTACATAGAATAGCCTCATTAATTTAAAAGCGAAATTGTTAACGAAACAACATAGGATCATTCCATATAACGCAGTCCTGTTTGAATAAATAAATCATTTATCACATAAAAGAGTGAATATTGGAGAACAAAAAAGTGCAAAACATGCGTATGGAAATGCATAAGACCGCATTCTGTAGGTTAATCTCAGTGACAAATCTGTTTAAAAAATCCTTGGTCGGAAAGGCTGCATTAAATTTTCAATAAAACTTCGAAATGCCTGCGGTACCTACCTTTATGTGAAAAACACACCTGAAGAAAAATGAAAGATTTTCTGACTAAAAAAACTGTTGGACAAGGGCTTCATCAAATTAAAAATAATACGTCTAGAAAAACATGCAAAATTCTCTATTGGTATATTCTAATACAGTAAACCAGTTTTATAAATTAATATTCTTGTAAAAAGTTTAATGGAATTTTACCTCTTTCCTAATACCAATCAAATTATCGAAATTACAATCGAAAACTATATAGTATCTATATCATAAGATAACTAACTCGCAACAAGTTTTGCTTCAATAAATATACTTTCAACTAAAAAAATTGTATATTATGGTAAAATTTAGATAACAAAGAGGTAAACATGTAATACGTACATCAATAGCAATAAACATAATTTAAGCAAACATCTCATTCATATTTATGTAAAATAAACAGTAAGAGATCAAAGTCTAGATAGTCTATACTTTGTTCAATGGATTTTCGGGAGATTTTTGCCACTCTTTGAAGATCATTTGCTTAAGCTGCGACAATCTTAGCGACGGATGTTCCAATTTCAATTCTTTCAGCCGCCTTTCTTCAAAGGCATTGTAGGCGGCTTTCATTCTCTTCTCAGGATGTTTATCATAATCGTCAGTAGGACCGCTACAATTTCGAAACGTCACAACTTGGCCTAATAATATTTTTCAACATTGACTCACCCTAAAATTTCAATAGCTTCATCTATAGTACGAGCCTCTTCGCCGTCAATTTGCACTCTATTCAAGTTTTCTTGTAATGGAGCATCTAAATGGGTTTCAGTCGCCTTCGCAACTTCCTTCGGCTTCGGAGGTTCTTCTTTCTTCGACTGAATTTGAGCTCTAGTAACTTTAACAGGTGGAGGCGGCTTGGACACTTTGATAGAACCCATCTCTTTCTCCAAAAGAGCTTTTGCTTCAGCTTTTCGCTGCAGGAGCTCTTGGCGTTTTCTCTCGTCAGCTTCCTATCAGATTTAATAAGTTCGTACGAATCCAATAAAAAAATAACAATATTTATTGTCTAACATATTCAATCCAAGCATCTTTAATTATTACCGATGAACTGGAAAACCATGGACCAATGAGCTTACTTAGTCACCTTTATAAACTATTCACGAGAAATATTACCACGCGACTGAAAAACAAATTAGATTGTTATCTAATTTAAGATGGGTATTGGTTCCGCAGATGTTTTGGGACCAATCTTCAAAGCATAAAAACTGTGATTCAAAAACCAATTGAATACAATAGACCGCTTGTCGTTCGACTGCCTTTGTGGACTTCCACAAGGCCTTTGGGACCGTTGATCTGAATGCAGTCTTGGACTCCTTACAAAAATGCCGTGTTGACTACCGCTTCACTAAACTAAGACATAACACATACCTATAAAAATGTTACCATGATGTTAAAGCAGCTCAGCACACCAACTTCATAAGAATCGGAAGAGGAGTACGATAGGGTGATACTATGTCATCCAAACTGCTTATCACTATTCTGGAATACGTCTTTGGGATGCTCGAATGAAGAGGAAAGGGTTTAAATATAGATGGTATAAGCCTAACAAATCTGCATTTCGCGGATGACATAGTTTTGCTGTCCGACGGCCTACAAGATTTCAGGAAAATGCTGGAAGACCTTCAGGAAGTAAGTACTCAGGTCGGGCTAAAAATTCATATATTAAAAACAAAATAAATAGCGGAAATTGTCCCGAGTGGAAATATTATTGTAACGGAAATAGCCTGGGGTACTCACGTTTGAAATGGAGGGATCAAAATTCATGGTATTTCAGTAAATGGGAGCCCCATTTGCGCCCCATTTACTGTCAAATATGACACTGACAAGCGGGAAGTTCCGCACCTGTTCTGGAGATTTCGAGAACCATCTGGGTTACCTGGAGGAAACTATATTAGCGACGACGAGAACCAGACGGGGGAGTGAAGTGACAGCAGCGACCGAGTTCAGAAAAGGTTAAACCCCGCAAGTCGGAAGTCCGAGTTTTTGGAAAAAAAAAAATTGAAGACCTGAAGACAACCGTTGAAGGTAAACTAAAGAACGTTGAGGACGTGGACATCAAGAAACACCGCTACGATGGCGTTGTAAAAGAGATGAACTCGAACGCGCCTAGAGTGGCTGTAGTTAATCAACTCCCCAGACAGTTGCTGCACGTCGAGCATCGCAACTGGGAACTCGCCAAGGAGAAGCCGGAATTTGCAACCGCAATCTCGCCCAAGATTGGGGAACTGGCCGATCAGTTCGATGTTCTGGAACAAACCACCAAGGAGAAGGGTTAACGCCTGTTTGACGCTAATCGCGAAGTACTGATTCACCAGACCTGCGACGACATGGACTCATGGATGAACGAACTCGAGAAACAAATCGAAAGCGATGGCACGGGGTAGAATTTGGCCTCTGAGAATATTTTGATGCAAAAGCGGCAAATCATCGAAACGCAAATGGCCGTCAAGGCGCGCCAAGTCGATGAGCTGGAGAAGCAAACCAAACATCTGGAAACGGCCGCACCCGACAAGGACATCAACGAAATCAAGGTAAAAAAGAGCAAAGTGGAGGAGCGCTTCCAGCTCATCAAGCAGCCCCTCATCGGAAGACAGCGACTGCTGGAGAAGAAGAAGGAAGCCCTCCAGTTCC